ACAGTCCTAACAATGTAAATAATCATAAATTGTTTTCAAAGACCATACTGAAAATGAACTGAAACTTTCAAATTTATTTTTGCAATATTCTTTTTCTTTTTATGTGCCGTGTCCCTTCAGGACGTAGGCGATCATGGCTCTCCACTTCCCCCTATCCCTTGTAGCTCTCAATAAGTTTTGTCCGTTTGCTACTTCACCCTGGCCATGTTCTGTCATCCACTTGCTTAAGTCCGCTAGGTATGTCATGAGTTTTGCTTTCCCTTGTCTCGCTTTCCGTCTATTCGACTTGTGAGTATCAGATTCTTCAAGCCCTCCTTTCTCATTGTGTGTCCCAGAAACTTCAGCTGCCTCTTCCTGATGCTAAGTATAAGTCTCTTCCTTGTTTACAACCTCTCTATGACCTCATCGTTGCTCACATGCTCGGTCCATGATATCCTTAGCAACCTTCTGTAGAACCATACCTCCGTTGCTTCGAATCTCTTCTTCATCTTTGAGGAGACCGTCCAACATTCGCTTGCCGTAAAGGAGGACAGATGTCACGTAACTGTTCAATACTCTTTCCTTTATTACCAAAGAAATCCTCCTGTTTCATAATACTCTGCCTAGCTTTTGGAATGCGTCTTTGGCCATCCCAATACCTCTTCGGATCTCAGCGTCGAATTTTTGATACCTATTTTTTTTTTATTCTTGTGTAAAACGGAACTTATACTCACTTATTCATTGAAATTTTTTATTCGACATTTGGGCTACGTGTTTTTTATTTAGACTTTTTGATGATAATGTCCTTCTAGATAATATCATAAGTCTGGAGACTTGGTCTGAATGTCACTTCTTTCTTTTATTTGCCATGTCCCTACTGAACGTAGGCGATCATGGCTCTCCACTTCTCTTTGTCCCTTTGCTACTTCCCACAGGCCATGTTCTGTCATCCAATTGCTTAAACCCGCCAGGTATGTCATGCGTTATTTTTCCTTGTCTCTCTTTCCCTCTATTCGACCTGTGAGTATCAGATTCTCCAGGCCTTCTTTTCTCATTGCGTGTCCCAGAAATTTCACCTGCCTCTTTCTGGTGATAAGTATGAGCTTCCTCAATGTTTGAATTCTCTCCAAAACCTCATCGTTGCCCACACGCTCGGTCCATGATATCCTTAGCATCCTTCTGTAGAATCATACCTCCGTTGCTTCGAATCTCTTCTTCATCTTTGAGGAGACCGTCCAACATTCACTGCCGTAAAGGAGGACAGATGTCACGTAGCTGTCCAGTACGCTTTTCTTTGTTACCAAAGAAATCCTCCTGTCTCCTAATACTCTGCCCAGCTTATGGAATGCGTCCTTGGCCATCACAATACGTCTTCGGATTACAGCATCGCATTTGCCGTCCTCTGTCAAAACACTTCCAAGATATTTAGCCTTAATTAAGTTTTAAAAAATTGAAACAGTTAAGAACTAAATGGTATATTTTTTGTCTAAATTTCTGGGATAAGATGTTATCATTGTCTGTACTATTTATATACGAAATATTGCTCCCGTCCTTGTTGTTGTGATGTAGTGGTTGCGGGTTCGATCCTTGGGTCGGGCCGGGTGTACTTGCACACAGTAGAAACGGACAAGAAATAACTGACTAGCATTAAATTAAAATAAAATCTAGAGGAAATCCTTAGACAGGAGCAGTGGAACGAGAATAGTCTAATCCCATATATTAGATAATCAAGAAACCGGAAAAGAGTGCCACAAGCGAGAGGTGCGATAGAAGAAACTGTTAGAATAGAACTTCCAGTTATGTCCATATTTATATTCTATCATATATATATATATATATATATATATATATATATATATATATATATATAACACTAGCAGTAGAGCCTGGCGTTGCCGGGGATGTGATGATAGATCAAGTATCGACCATCATAAAGACTAAAAAAAAAAATTGACAAAGATTATTGTTTAAGGTTGACGGACACGCATGTCTTAATTAGTTTTTTTTTTTTATGAATTGGTCAAACCCAAACTCAAACAAAAACATTGTTTTCAATCGTTATGAGTCTACCGATTGAATAGAATTTTATTAAAAACAATTGTATTGTAAATGGAATTTTTAAAGCATTCTGAATGTAAAAATAAAGAAAAAAGTGTGCAAGACAATAAGAAACACTACCTGCAAAAAAAAAAGTGAAGTTTTGTTGAAATCGGTTGAAAAATGTAGGAAATCCGATCCCATATATAAACGAATACACACACACACACACAAACAAACAACCTTGATTTTATAAGTATAACTCGATATGAGTTGTCCCCCTTTCATTCTCGCGACAGCGATGCCTCTTAATCGTGTTTTCAAATTGATTTCGTGCAAAAACAATTGTGTTTTTCCAATTTTTGGCGCTGTCAGAACCACCGCACGGTAATTTTACGTAGTCCTGTGAAGTTTTGTTGAAATCGGTTGAAAAATGTAGGAAATCCGATCCAATATATAAACGTACAGACACACACACACAAGCTGGGTTTTATAATAAGTATGATTAGGCAGCATATAATTTATGTACAAAGAAATAATCACGCATAGAATCAATCAGTAATATTAATGCTATTATTGGCGACATCCATCGCTAGTAGTGTATAATTTATGCATTAAAATACTGTTAATCCATAGAGTGATGTGATCCTCATTTATAAAACTGTTGTCGGTTGTTTCCAGTTTATATTTTTTTTTAAATGCAAGTACTTTCGAATAATCCTTTATTCATCCTCAGGCATTTTTTTTATAGATGAGGATCACATCATTCAATGGATTAACAGTATTTTAAAACATACAATATATTCTACTAGCGATGTGATATCGCCATTAATAACATTAATATTGCTGATTGATTCTATGCGTGATTATTTCTTTGTATATATATATATATATATATATATATATATATATATATATATACTTATTGTTTACTTATTTTTATACTGATCAATTCCATTTATCTAATCAGTTTCTTCAGATGAAATTCATCAAGGATAGTGCCGTAGTATAAAAAAGTAAGTAGACACAATATATCTATATTATTCAATGAAACATGTTTGAATGAGGATATATATTATATATATATATATATATATATATATATATATATATATATATATATATATATATATATATAAAAAAATGTGTGTATTTAGGCAGCAAATTCTCTTTTAGGCATGTTTGATTAGATAAATTACAGACATTACATCTACTAACTTTTAACAAAATCCTTCCGTGTATTCATATTAAAGGATAAGAGAAATGTGATATAACTGATTTAAACAGTGATATCACATTTCTCTTATCCTTTAATATGAATACACGGAAGGATCTTTTATTTGAACTTCCCAAGTATATATATATATATATATATATTAAGACATTTTTATGTTTATACATTCTTTTTATAGAAGTATATTTAATTGTATGCTCTGTTTAGAATAAACAGTATTCAACAACATTTACTGGCCTGAATGCCCGAGAAAATTTTTACAGAAAATATTCGTCCTCAGACAGGATTCGAGCCTATATCCTATACGGAACAGTCATTTAGTTTGACGTGCCTTTAACCGAGTTGGCCGCAGAGAAGCGTTCGCTTAGCAGGGTCGATTTTACTGTATTTAAACTTCAATCTTCCTTGAATGTCACGTGCATTCATATCTGTTCATGGTGTATTAAATGTAAACAAATGACGTCACACATTATGAAATAGACAAAATAATTGTCGGATTTTGTCCATTTCATAATGTGTGACATATATATATATATATCTATATATACAGATAGATAGATAGATAGATAGATAGAGAAAGAGAGTGAGAGTTAGGTAAATCAAATGAGAAGATATAAGCAACCGAATTTTTTTTAATCTCCCCCCACCACCACCATTTTTTTATCCACAATTTTACTTTTGGACTATAAGCAGCGTTCTTCCCATATGACATCTGTGTGTTTTTATAAGAATATAAAATATACCTTGTGCCTCATGAGCTGGAAAACCAGCGAAACTTAAGTCGCACACCCAAAAGATATATATATATATATATATATATATATATATATATATATATATATATATATAGGCTGTCTATAAAGTTCGTGTGCACTTTAAAAAATTCATAACTTTATTTGTATTTGCGATAGAAATAATTTGCAAAAAGGATTAGAAAGTAGTAAATCTATATTTTTTACGGATTTATTGAAATTTTATTTAAGTTTCCACATGTCCTCCATCATTAGCAATACAAAGGGTAATACGATTTTGCAGTTCACGGAAAACATTTGTCAATTGATTTACAATAATGCCTGAAATCACATTATTTATTTTAGCTATACTTAAAATATAGGTACATTAAACTTTATAACATTTTTTACAGATTATTTCTATGGCAAATATAAATAAAGTTATAAATTTTTTAAAGTGCACACGAACTTTTATGGACACCCTGTATATATAATAGGAATCATCCCAGACAAGGCGGTAATACCATTAAAACACAAAGTATGATAGAATGAATAACAGAAAACATTAATTATGAGCAGAAAGCGAAGTGGGGAATCGGGATGACAGTAGATAATGATTGACATTGCATTTAATTTTTTGAAGGTAAAATTTGGCTGGAAAGCATGGTGCTGGATGTGAGTTTCACAAGCGAGAAGTGCGAGAAAAGAAACTGTTAGCATAGAACTTACAGTTAAATTTAGCCATTTCAAATATAATATGATGTAAAAAGTGTGTATTTGGATTTTATTGATTTTTTTGCAGGTTATTTAAGGCCAGAAAATATAATTCTGGATTGAAAGAAATTTTTTTTATATATAATAATCATTTATTGATACAACACCTACTAATTAACCCATAGATGGGGAGGAAGAAATGTATTTAAAGCTTTCCCAAGGGTATTTTTACGTAAGAGAATATAACTAAACCGACCGCATTCAAGTCCCGAGTCTTCATCCATTGCATCACGCGGACATCCAAGCTTACAGCACACGGTCTTCCCAAGCGGTCGCCCATCTAGGCACTGACCAGGCTCTCCGTTGCTTAACTTCAGTGATCGTACGAGGACCGGTGTTTCTACGAAATATGGCTGTAAGCTAACATGATGATAAATAAATACCATATTTCTGCTACATCGGGTCTAGTACTTGGGGACTCTTGATAAAATACATAGAAGAATATGCAATGTTATCTGTCCTGACCTGGCATCTCGGCTTCAGTCTCTTTCCCAATGCCCTTGCCTAGTATCCCCCGTGTCTTTTCCATACATATGTTAATGGTAATTGTTCGGATGGGATTTCCTCTTTGGTACCTAGACTTTCCTACATTGGCGGCAAGGTCTCATCATTTTACAGTTGAAATGTCTAGATGCAACCGTAAGTTCTATGTTAACATTTTCTTCTCTCGCACTTCTCGCTTGTGGAACTCTCTTCCGTCTTCTTTCCAGTCAACTTTGTTCTTCTTTTCCTTATATTCTTTCACACTCAGTAACCCCTTGCGTCTTCGTAGCTTTGGTTGAAATGATTAACAAAAATATAGATCTGGCGTATTCCATACCTATCCAGGTTGAACCACAACGTGAAAGTTATTTGAATCGGCAGACACCTGAAGAAGGTCAGAGAGTAGAACGACCAGATGGTGTAATATTGTGATGAGGATATTAGTCCAACTGTAAATAATCTTATTTTATTGGTTGCTTTCTAAATGAAGATTTATTATTATTATGCATTATTCAATAAGCCAAAATAAAGCTCGAGAGACATTCAAGATAGAGTTGCTGACCGAGATTGTAAGGAAGGGGCAAAACTAAGGGTATTATGAGGACAAGTAGGATAGATATCATTTGACAATGGATTTAAAAAATCATACAGTTGTCAGGGAAGCATTCTCTCAGGAGTTTGTTCCACAATGTAACAGTTCTTGGAGGAAGAAGCTGTCTGAGTGGAAACTGGTTTTATCAAAGGATTACGAGAGGAACGGTGATGGTTTGAACCACCCCGTGAATACATCATGGTGGATCCGGGCTGTGAAGGTCTGAGCTGATGGCACTAAGGAGTCTAACTCGCCCGAAAATCTACCATAATAATAACGATATAGTAGTGAAAGGTGGGCGAAGTTTTGTCTGTCGAGTAACGGCTTCAGGGTGGAGAATAATTCATCAACCGCTGGGCCGTGTAAGCGCTTTTGTACTCTGTCGTGGCTGGACGGTGAGAATTAAACAGCTTGCATATGGCAGCAATACTCCATGCTTGGCCTGATCTGATTCGTGTAAATTTAGATCAATGGCAGGGAAAATTAGGCATTTTCTGGAGCGATACAATGAACCGACCATTCTTCAAACATCTTTGGCCATGTCACGAATATATTATCCCAATTGAGGTCTGAGGTGCACTTTTGAACTCTGCCGAGACTGGACAGTGAGGTTTGGACAGTCCCAGCCCAAATGTGGCAGCAATCCTCCATTCTTGATCTGGTCTGACTCTTGTAAAGGTAGGGCACTGGCAGCGGGAGTTAGGTATTTTCTGGAGCGATACAATGAAACGACCGTTTTTACTGTCATCTTTTGCGATGACACACGTTCCTATTGAGGTCGGGAGTGGGATTTAGAACCAGTAGGATTTCAAGTCAAGGAACCTCTTTGAGAATAGCACCGTGTATGCGTGTTCCGCACTGAACTTATCAGGGACGTCTGTGACTGATAAGTTCAATGCGGAACACGCATACGCGGAAATAAAATGGAAAAGCTTATTACAATTAATCGATCCCCAATAGTTTAAAAAAGAATTTTGACATTTTTTGGCGCCTGTTTAAACGTTCCGATGTTTGTAAATATGGACATCGATACACGACATTATCACAAAATAAAAGGAGTAATTATTGTAAATATTTGAAGGCATGGAGGCCATCAAGAACGAAGACGTGTACAGACTCCCACTTGATCTTCATTTTGCGAAGCCAGGCTATGATATATATACTTCTTTAAATATATATATATATATATATATATATATATATATATATGTATCACATAATAGTCTATCTATCTATATCTCTCTCTATATATATATACATATATATATATATATAAAGAGAAAAAGAGAGAGAGAGAAGGAAAGAGAAAGAGATAGACTATTATATCGCAGCAGATGGGCACCAAAGAAGCGATTCGAAAGTTGCCTGAAAAAATCCTCTGTTGCCTGTCACATCAACCATTGCAAATGGTCAAACTTAGGTGAAAGCCGTGACGCCTGGTGTCTCACCACGAACCATGCTGTCTCCTTTCAAAATACCTGCAGGGCCGCTCTCAGGGACAAGAGGCAGAGGGGAAAGTACTGCAACGCGACGCCATCGAGCACATGCCGGACTTTCAGCTTCAAATACTGCCACCATGTATGCCTATTCCGCATTGGACTTATCAGTCACAGACCTGCCTGCAAGCGACGTGTACAAACTCCCAATTGATTTTCGTTTTGCGAAGCCAAGCCATGATTTTTACTCAGAATCTGAGAATGTTCTTTGGCAGATCATTGTTTATATCACAGCGTTTCGAACCAGGTCTGCATCGCAGGTGGGTGGGGTACTGCATGTCCTGAAGATGCATTAGCAGTCGGTATATCTCTATGCAAGTTCTGTCTGAAAAGTTACGGGACTAGTGTCACAAATAATTTATTTCCATTCCAAACAACAAACTACATGGTTTCCCCTTCAAAGGAATCCCACTCGAGTACTTTTCATTCTTCTCTGCCAGGCTTCTATGCGCAGCTGGAAGGGTTCTTCTTGGATGCCAATCAGATCCGTCTTCGTTCTTGATGGCCTTCAAATATTTACAATAATTACTCCTTTTATTTTGTGATGATGTCGTGTATCGACGTCCATATTTACAAAAATCGGAACGTTTAAACAGACGACAAAAAATGTCAAAATTATTTTTAAACTATTGGGGATTGATTAATTGTAATAAGCTTTTTCCCATTTTATCATTTTATGATTATTAACTATAGTTTTTCTTTAATAATAATATCACCTAATCGGTACAAATTAATAGAGAATTTTAAAAGATTTAAAACTTTATAAGTTGTTCTAATTCAAATTTTAAAAAATGAAAACAATTAATGTAAAATTTAGTATTCATTGAATATTTACTTGAGTCAATAGCGTCCATAATACAAGGTGTCCATAAGGTTCGTGTGCACTTTAAAAAAGTTGATCTGGAGAAACGAAAGCCGTATTGCTTGTCTGAAAAAAGACCCTTAACTGGGACAACAGATGATGACTTCCAGCAAGCAGGAAAGCAGGAAGCAACGAGTCGTTTATTGTACAGTTTAGAGAAAACAGGAGCCTGTTCGGGAGCATACATCTTGATAACTATTACAGGCATAGCATCGGGTCCACATGCTTTGTGGGAATCATGGATAAGAGATGATAGCAGAAATCATTGAAGGAGACCCTGTATATCTTATTCATAAAAGCAAATAAAAGCTTTTCTAATTAAATAATGTCTTAGTTTTATTGCATTTTTTTTTTATTATTTTACGATTTGGAGCAGATTATCGGCAACTAGTGGCCCTGGTTGATAAGAACAATGTTATGATGTAAATTCTACAAGGAGTTACGCATATAATTAATACATGCATTACAAAAATAAATTCCTTGAAAAATGAAATAAGTAGGGTGGCTAACAGATATTAAAAAATGTTTTTACCAAGATTTTCTAAAAAAAAAAAAAGCGGGAAAAAGAAACATTTCTGATAGAATTTCATTTATTTTTGAATAAGTCCTGAAAATTACATTAAACTCCGAAAATTATTTGATTTTTTTGCAAGAATTTCCAAATCATTGTGATTTTTATCGCAAATGAGACGGTAAAATTTCCAATACTAATTTATGCTCCCCCCACACCACTTCTGACGCAAAAAAAAAAACAAAATAAAACAAAAATATATTTAACGAAAATTTTGAACGTTCTAAAAAGAATCAACAAAAATAATTTAAAAATCAAAAAATCGAAAAAATCTCCAATTAGTGGTTAACTGGAGCAATAATTTTTACGCAAAGTTTGTAAATTTTAATGCCTCTAAAACAAAAGCAAAAATGGTTTCATTTAATCACCAGAGAGAATCTGCCTGCTATCAGCATGGTTGATACTAAACTTCAGGAGAGCAGCTCTTAGACTCGTGTTTTCCAGTGACATAGAGTGATTCTTTTGAATCAATTTCTAGGAGATTTGCTCCACTGTTTTCTGTTCATGTTTGCATGTTTTTTTTGGAGGGGGTATAAGCGTTTCACCCCAAGCAAGGCGGGAAGCCACTAGGACGCAAGGGGTTACATAGAGTTGGCGTTAGAACAAATAGGAGTGATAGAGGAAAGGATGAAGGTAAGGATAGGGGATAGATCAGGGCATCTGGAGACGCCGATTGACATTACATTTGAATAGTTGGAGATTATAGGTATCATGTAAACAGGAAGAGGAGGAGGGAGTTTCACATGTGAGAGGTGAGAGACGTGAAGCTATTGGAGTAGAAGAGACGGCAACATTTAACAGTTTCGACAGTGAATGTGTGTGAGCGAGATGCCAGCCTAGTTGAACGCTTAAATTCATGAAGTCTGGGAACCAGCGTAAGCAGCTCATCACAGCAGTTACCATGAAAGTATTTGTAAAAAAGACAGAGGGAGGTGACGGCACGTCTGTGAGAGAGCGACTGCAGACGAGATGCAATATCATGGCCAATTACGTTGCATATCCGTCTCTGGATCTTCTCGAGAACCTTGAGACGAACATAAGGGGCACCAGACCATATATGGCAGCAATAATCCATGCAAGGTTGAATGGTTGATTTGTAGATTTTGATGATAAAACTTTATTTTTGTTAAGTTTGGCGCAATTTTCTTCATGGAATACTCATTTTTAGTGGTTTATTTATTAAACAGTACATTTATTTATTTTCCCCTACCGGCTTTAATTTTCGAGAATCTTATTTAAGAAAAAATTGCGCTCTCCGGCCGATAGACGATAATAAATAAATATACTGTTTATAAATAAACGGAGCGTCTACTCAAATACAAGTATCCTCTAAAATAAGGTTTAAAGTGACAAT